GAGGAGGGACAGGGAAGTGGCAGATGAAACCCTGACCTAAATGTCTGGTCCCGAATGTACTGTAAGGCCCTGAGCTTTTTTACAGCAATTAGAAACAATAGAGACATGCTGTTCGGTTCAGTGGGAAAAAGAGCAGCAGATATTAGAGCAGAATGATCCTCTGTGCATTAAGATGAAAGGTGGATGAAGAAAAGTGACCTATTCACTTCTGCTCATGCATCATCTCAGGAGGAATTTCATGCAGTAGTTAGGGAGCAGTAGAAAATCTGACCAAACTGACCAAACAAGTGGCTGGTCAAAGGCAATATTACATGCAAGAAGCATCATGATCTATCCATGCTCCGCTCACAAAGGCATTCTTTCATAGCCACTGTTGCAAGGTTGAACAAACTTTAAAGAATGTTGGAAAGATTTCCATGCAAACCAATGAGACATTGTAGTAGATAACTTTTGTATGCATGTCAAAGGTCATAGGCAGATTTCGGTCCAGCTGTCAAACTACATTCAAGTAAACAACTGATTATGCGAATCTGTCTGCTTTTCCAGCAGCTCTGCATATAAGAATAAAACTCTCTATGTCATGACTGACAAATATGAAGAGGGTCTATCGATCTTCTTTGCTGTTCTGTTCAATTGTATGGCTATATTTTAATTCTTTAGAATGCAAAAAATGGCTCAAGATCGGCTGCAGGCATCTTATGTCTGTTTATGTCTAATATCACTGCTATGTTTATTTTCTTTGATAAGATAAAACTGCAAATTAATTTCTTCATTATTCCACGAGTACCTGCTGCCTTTCTTTAACCAATGTTCTTCCCAATTTTAGCCATGTTAAGCTGAGCGGCATTAGATGACCTTTAAAATCCTAATACATTTCAAAAACAGCAAGCATCACACACTTAATGACTGTCTTTAACAGAATTTTAATTTTGTCGTGAGGGGCTGCACACTAAATGATAAGGCGAAAAGAGTGTACAACACTCATAAAGAGTTTCAGCTACGAAAAGCACGCAAAATCCCAGAGCCCCCCATTATCACATGATACAAAAAAAGCTAAACTGGACCGGACCTGTTTGTGCTTTTGTGCACGCACAAGAAGTGGAGCAAAAACACAAACTGGGAATGAATATGGGGTTGAAACATAAATATCACATTTAGAGCTGGAGGAAAAGTTTAGTCCGAACTGGCTGCTGACTTGAAAATATAACGAGAGTGATTGTTTGCCTGTACTCAATAAGCAGCTCCTCTGTCTCCACAGTCCACTGCTCACAAGGAGGAGTGCATGCACATCTTTCTTCACCTTTTTTCTCTCTGCATGCTCTCCTATTGGCTGTTGCCTGAATCATTCGACTTCATCGCTGACCATCTCACATTAGAAGACTTGTGAACATTTTGAGTGAGAAAAATCAAACGTTTGAAAATATCGGAGGGCTTCCCATCACTTCAGAGCTCAACTGGAGGGCTAAAGAGTGATTTGCTCCCCCTCTCACACCATCTTTTCGAATTGCTGCTAAATCAATGGCATTGGATAGCTCAACATGCTTGGAGGAGAATACTAACTGCCATATCTGTTATGTCAGCTAACACACACCCGTGCTGGCTAGCTTCATGCTGAGTAATGGAGGGAGAATGAGGGCTATTCTACCCACCAAGAGAGAGCAAAGCCAACTGTGCTTTCTTGGACTCCTGTCCACGGATGGCTGTGGCATCACCAGCAATCTGATTATACTGACAAAGCTTAAGACTAAGCTACTCACAAGGCCTTGTGAGGTCATTTTCTGAGAAGCATTTTCTGAGAAGCAACAGCTGGGCAAAAAACAGAAATGTGATCAGTTAAATGACTTTACTCTATATGCATTTACATTATTTATTCAAGCAACTAAGAAGCAAAATAGGCATCAGCCAATCTGGCCATTTTCCACTTGCATTTTAATAGATGCATGCAATAAACAGAAAAAGACAAGTAAATGGTTAATGGCAATTTTTATATGACAAATAATCCTCAGCTATAATTTCCTAGTCGTGACAGGTCTACAGCATTATAGTCCAACTGGGTAGAGCAGCATTTTACATGGGAAAACTCAGCACTACATATTAAAGGTATGGAACTGAACAGAAAGGGTGCATCTGTGGGTGGAGCGTGGAGAGGTAAATTCAAGACAGCGAACAGGACTGAGAGATACGGAAAAGGACACACACAAACACAGAGGGAGAGTCTGTGCGTGTACTTTAAATGTGTGTGCACTGGAGCTAAGGGACCGGGGGTTCATTCAGCGGTTGCTGTGCTAATTTAAATAAATCCAACATGGAGAAGAAGACTGTAAGAAGAAGACTTCATCCTTAAATCTCAGTGTGGGCTGCTGATTGTGCTTCAGTGCGAGCTGCAGGCGTGGGTGAAAATAAGCTACATCACATTGTCAGCGATGCTCAGGGATTGAAGAGTGACGACAGACAAAGCCATTGACAGTCAGCTGCTGACATGCCACATCATAAAGCACCAGATTGCTGAGAGATGTATGCCATAAAAATAAATGCCATAAAGCACCTCAAGGTTGCCAATATGGAAAAAAAAAACAAATGAGGACAGGATGAAAGCAAACAGACGGCTTGTTCCAAATTAAAATAAACAGTACATTTTAATTACACTCTGAACAAAAACTATGAAGGATATTTAACTTCACAAAGTGACAGAAGTAGAAAAAGATGATGAAGACGAAGTAAGTGGCGACCACAGTTGGGCAGAAGTGGATGAGATTCTTTTAATAAATGCTCTATTATAGTTTATTAGCATTTGAGCATGCCCCAGACAACTCAGTGAGCTGAATGGATACTTATCCTGTTTCGCTCTTTAAAAATTCGAATCATTCTTCATTCTAATAAAGAGTCAACTGTATTAAAGAGCCCATTTGCTACATTTTTGTGTGTTTTATTTATTTCTCTTGAGGTCCCCTGAGGTGCCTTTAAGTCTGAAATATGTAAATGACCTCTGTTCTGGTTGGGAGCCATGTATCATGCCTCATTCAAAAAAGATCCCAGACTGAAACACTCCTTATTTCTTTAGTAGGTGGGGCTACACTGCTGTAGGCTGGCAAGATGGATCCGTGTAAATGTCAGAAAGACAGTGCTTTCAAAATGGGTTGTTTTTGAAGCTTAGTTTCCATGGCTTGGGAGAGAAAGGTACATTTTGAAATTTTCACTGTATTAACATAGTACATCAAAGTCTTTCATGTTCAAAAAATGCAAGGGAAATTTGGTTTTTCATGACATGGGCCCTTTAAGGTGGGGGTTTGTTTACTGATGACTGGCATTTATGCACACTGTCAACACCAAAATGCTAAAAAAAACGTGAACTCCTATCCATATGTTTACAAATCTGTTGATAGCCTCCGTCTACTTATGGACAGGTCAGTCTATCTATATGCTGTTAGAAATAAGGTTACTGTGCAGGTACATTTTTCATTCATCAAGGTACAAACAATAGAAATGTACCCTCAAAAGGACAACAGTGGATTTTAGGTCCAACTATGTACCTTAAATAAGTTCCAGTGGAAAAGTATATTTTTGTACCTTTTTATGACTTAATGTTTTAAAACAGAACAATAAAATAAAAAGCCTGGAGATGAGACGGGCTGTGTGGAGTCAATACAACTTAGAAAATATCATTTCAGGGGATTATAGTATAATTATGTTCCTTGAGTAAAGGTACTGAGATGTACCATTGAGGGTACCACCCCAGTGACAGGAGGGGCACTACCCCAGTGACAGTTTCATACATTTGTTTTCTGAGAGTGTACAGTGAGATACCTGACCAGGCATTTTATGGTACCACTTCCAGTATGAAGGTGTCTCAAGGCATCACCATCTTTTAAGCGGTCAAACATTGTAATTTTGAAACATTCTCATTCTGGTCTTCCCTTCGATCTATACACGGCCAAGTATGAACTCATGGATGAGCAACGTTTAGTCATTATTATAGTACGTTATTACATTACATACTATTGATTACATACTGTTACTGTAATAATGTGCATTATTACCTTATTATTACATACCCACTCAGCTTCAAGGAGACTGAATGGACAGTGGTAGTGGAGTGGAAGGAGGGGTTCACTGACCACCTTAGATTTCAGCTACAGTATTTGACTTTACGTCTTGCTGCTGTACAGGATACAACTCAAGTGCTTGCATTTGCAAAACCCGTCGTGCAAGTCAGTGCTTTAGACATTCAGAACACGTACAAGCAGCGTTTATGTGCAATGACAAAACCCAGTAGATTTCACAGTCAGGTCCTAGTGCTGCATGCACTAAAGCTCCAGTCTCAGCTCCGCGTCCTGCGCTGGCCAAGCCCGTCGAGCACGGCGGAGAAATTCTCACGCTTATGCTACGACGACCCCAAGATGCAGACTGCTGCAAATGCCTCGATCTGATAGGCGCGCGATGCAATCCTGCACTAAGTTCAGTCACTCTTATTGAAATAACAAATGAACAACGGATAAAAGGGACGCTCTGCACTCGCCACTCCCCTAAGGCTTCGACCCGCGTGCCCAAAACACGCAGACGAAATGACATCACATTCTGAGAAACTGACCCTTACTGTAGCTCATTTGGGGCAACGTTAAGGGCGAGTTCAGCAAAAAAGTCCTTAATCTGATCTTGAAGTAAAATAGCCCAGATGCTTATCTGATTCTTCTCTTTTAGACGCTCCTGCTTTGGAAGTGTTCGCTCTTAACGATGCGCGCAGCCCACCGCATCCTCCAACATCACCTCAACTTCCCACGCGCAACAACACCCCCAACTCAAATATGCGGTGTCATGGTGCGCGAGACGGCAGCCCCGTGCACTCTTGCTCACGAAATGAACGAAACTTGTTCCACACAATGATGCAGCCCTAAATAAGACTTCTGAGAGTGGTCCAGGTGCAAAAGAGTGAGCGAGACCCCCCAACTCCCACCACGCCCAAAAACAGGCAATAAAAAAGCTGCGCATCTCTGAGCGCTTACCTTTAATGACAGTCCCGCAGATGCCGTAGAGCACGAAAAGCAAGTGCTGTTTCAACATCATATTCTTCTCGCTTGGCTCAGCCGAAGCTCGCTTGGGCGTCCGTCTCGCGCGTCTCGCGTCTTCTTCTTCTTCTTTTTCTTCTTCTTCTCGGAGCGCTCGGCTTATCCAGCTGGGGCTGCGCTTTCAAGGCAGCAATGGCATGGACTCCGCAGGACGATGCTGAATCTCCCCCCTGGTCAGGGCGCGCGAAGCGGAGGCCACGCTGCCGTCACGGAAGCCCCGGGCTGCTACAGAGACACACACACACTCACACGCGCACGGCTCCGCGCGACAGTGCTGAGAAAAGTGCCACTTCAGCCGCCCGTGCCGTTAGCGCAGCGCGCAGCAAGCTGGGTCCCGCCCACGCGCGTTTGACACATGAAGACACCTCGCCAATAGTAAAGCGCCTCGCGCTCTCTTAAAGAGGAGAGAAGCCTCAGGACGCCGTCACCGCCGCGGAGCGCGCGCACGGCACTCCACTCATCTGTTTTCACTTTTAATGGACTTTCTTCTGGTGGAGTTTGGTGAAGTTTAATGTTATCCTTCAGAGCGGTTTAACTGAAGAATATTAATAGGGAATTCCACCACTTTCCCCCCAGAAACACTGCATAATTCAGTCGTTGAGAAGTAAACAATGTAAAGTCATCCAGATTGGTTTGATGTGGAATGGCTCATTGTAGAGGAGTTCCCCGACTCTTTACAGTGCTGGCGAGAGGAACCAGGGGCCCTATTACAGAAACTTCTTACGTCTGAAATATTATCTGTTTAGTCATCAAGACAACTTCAGTTAAGGCTGAATTTAGAATAGTCTTAAGTTCAAATCGTATCCTGACTCCAGACAAGAAAACAGTATTACAGAAACATCCTAACTAGCCAAAACTTCCCAAATTCTGTCCTAACCTTAAGACAGCTAACGTCTGTTTTAACCGTGTGTTTCTATTGTTTTACGTAGTGACAGGCAGCATAGCTCACTACTACTAGCATAATGATACAGTACATTTATTTACACTGAAAACGGTGCGTTTGAGGGTTTTTTTTGGTAACAGCGGTTTAAAAATCGCAGGCACGATCTTCACCGTTCCCTCTTACTACCGTCGTGTGTTAATATTTATGAAATTCATTAGATAAAATATTATAGGTTAGTGATTTTGGTGATTAACGACGAGACAGAGCTGAACGTGTGTCTGTTTATTAGGAGGAATAATTTTAGCGCAGTCGGCTAAAGCGTTTGGAAAACTGAAACTGAAACTTCGGCGAATCTCTGCTGTCACAATATTCTTAACTAGGAAAATAAATCATCGCGTTTTAGTTTTGTTTGACCCTTTTTACTTCAGTTGATAGCTAGCCAGCTGTCTGACTAACTCGCTTGATTATTTTGATAAGTTTCAGCTGTGCGTGTGTGGTTGGTTGCTAGGTAACAGACATGACAGTTGATTGTCGACTTCCGGCCAAGAGCTCCTAGCTTCAGATAAGATGCTGTAAGATAAGCTTCCTAAAGTAAGATAAGATTTACTTCTGTAATATAAATTTGTGAAAAATCTTATGTTGACCTCTCAGATCTTAATTTAAGACAGATTCTTCAGAAGTTTCTTAATGTACAGGGCAGCACATTCATAATTGTTTCATCAGCGTTCAGTTTTAGTGATGTACAGTGCTGCACAGCCGTTTTGTCACCTTTATCTTTCTCAATATACCAATAATAATAAAACAAATAGTCTTAATACAATAAGTAATGATTTTATGCATATCCGTGTGTCCGTTTAACCATTTCTAAACTCTCCTCGAGGAAGCCCGGTATTAATTGTCACTATAACTCAATATTTGGTTTGGCTCAACCAGTATTTATTATGTTAAAACATGTAATGGTGGAATTAGACAAATCTATGTTTTGGCAGGGGGCACTGAGGAGAAATCTGGTAGCAAACTTTGTTTAAACTAGCTCACAAGATATCAACTAAGACATTAAATATCAACTATGAAAAGAACTAAGAAAAGAAATTTGTGCTACATTTTACTTTATGTTTATGTACATTTATTCTAATGTTATATAGTAATTTTACAAGCAAAAACACACTTACTGTCCAGACAAATGGTTGTAAACAATGTGCTTAAGTACCTGAGACTTTTGCACAGTACTTCAGCTTTTAGAAGTGTTAAAACTCTTCTGACGTGTGCTAGAACCAGTGCTGTGAATAATTCTCACTCAGAGTGGAACATTTCACATCAAACCATCTTGAATGACTTTGTTCACATTATGGAGAAATTTGCAAAAAAATAGTGGAATTCCCCTTTAGGTAAAGAGAAAGCATAGTGCACTATGACTTTATTGAGCATGAGCAGTGAGAATTTTATTGAGGCAGTGACACATTTTGCTATAACCAGCAATAATTTCAATCATCTTTAATAATTTAACCAGCAAAAAACTCTTCAGACAGGTGCGTTTTTACAAGCCCACATGTAACTTCTGCTGTATTTGGCAGTTTTAAGTTTTGCTTGCCGTATTTGATTAGACTCACTCACTGTAATATTAAAAGCTTCGCTACCCAGACTAACCTTATCTGGCAAGTGCCGGGCAAACTGACAGAATTTTTGGTTCTGCCTTAAGGCAATTTGATTTCATCGGCATATTACCGAAGCTCATGGGTTTGGCATGAGAGGTATAAATGATACTACATCAGTGTAACAGCAGCTTATAACAATAACACTGGACAAGGTAGACCACCATGCTACTCTATATCAGTCTTCCTTCAAGACATCAAAGTGTTGATAAGAACTGGGTGGTTACTGGGCAACTGTAGACAAAGGATCAGGTTTAGCTCAAGCCAAGAGCCATTCTACAAACTCACCACTAAGCTTCACTCAGAGTGTAATATCTGGCTTGTACTGCAGGGCTGTACTGTTCTAGTTATGACTGGAATTCCAGCTTTTCCACAGCATGTATGTTCTATTTTGTTCAAAACTGACTGTCAGACATCACATGAAGCACAGTTTATTCTTCATGTTTGCCTGCACACAGGTCAAGATCTACATCTGGTTTGTTTAGATTAACTCTGCTGCTTACAGGCCAACTACTAGCTCAGGCTCAGACCCGACCTGGATAACTGCTATGCCCCTCAGCTCATGTCCTCCCTCAAGGCGTTTCCAAGCTATATTCAGTTTAGCTGCCTGAGCAATTTCAATGTATTATTAATAGTTGTAGGCTATTCACAGGCAAGTTTCATAAGTAAATTGTCTATTTGCCCATTTTAAATGGGTTAAATATGATGGGACAAAATGCTAGCAAATCATGCAAGGGGTTTGGTTGTGTCTGTGTGCAAGTATGACTCCTCCTTGAGCAACAACTCATGAGTAAATGCTGAAAAACCTCACTAAAACACTTTACAACATAAATTTAATCATTACATTTTATGTACATCAGCATTACATGATTACCAGCTAACACTACAAAACATTGTTAAGGCTATAGGCCAGGATACATGCAGCATACTATGCTGTCAAAATATCTTGCATATATCAGTTGTTATTATACTTAAAAAGTAGATTCTGGATTTTTATGATGTGGTCATGGTCATGGTGGGTGGGCTACAACTGCTGAATCCCCTGACTACCACTATTGCTGGAAACGCCCCCTATAACTTTCACCAAAGCCGCTGTGCTTGATATACTCATACAAGTTTGACCCAATATTGGTGCCACTGCTGTGCTGAACTGTCCACTACCCAAATAATGCTTGGTCACTGGTAGTCCTGTGGTGGTCCCTTTGTAATGATGTATGGTTTAAAGTGGGGCTGATAAATTGTGTAGCAACAGATGGGCTAGTCAGTGACAAGGCTAACCACTACCACTCAGTCACAATAACAGACTAGAGAAGTTGTGGTTGACTTTTGTGATCATCGACTCTGGCTACTGCACTGCTCTGGCAAACCAGTGCATGGATTTTAGCATGATGTCAATGACCTAAAGGGATTATCATCTTGCTGTTCTAGAGCCAGACTCAGACATGAACATTTCCAATGTGCCTTAACCTAAAAAGTGCTCAAGGCCTATTGCTGAGCAAGCAGCCCTGAGAAACCCACCCTGAAGCCTGCATAGCTGTGGTGTCACAGTGTGGCCAGCATTTTCCCCTGTCCTTTCAGTACATAGACTAATGGAGCCAGGCGTGATCCCGCAACGAGAACATCTGGATGCAACCATGAGAAATTTTGGTCTGAATGTGAATGGGAATGTAGATTTATTAGGGTGGTAACAAATTGAATGTGAATTTTCTAAAGAAGTCCAAACCAAGGTGGAGGTCAAACTAGTGCATGATGGTGCACTCATTAACATTAGCACTTTCAAAAGCATGTCATATGTAAACAATGTCATTCAGAGTGTTCAAATGTGAAATGTCCCAGCTAGAAATGTTTTGTTCTACAAACAAATATTACACACATGTTCTGTTAATGTTTTCAGCTGGAAGTTTTTTTTTTGTTGTTGTTCCCAGAACAACATCATGTAACATCATCTGTGGCCCTGACAGCATCCTCAAAACATCCTCTGAATGTGCAGTTAAAACGTTTCTTAGTTAACATGTAACTTTATAGGAATATTATTTGAAATGCTAAACATCCTTAAAACATTCTTTGAACATTAAATTGAAAGGTTTTCTTTAAACATTATTAGAACTTGTAGGTAACATTAGCCAAAGTTATGGAAACGTTCTCTGCTAGCTGGGGTGCCATTCTAGAGAAATTAGAGTTAGTTTTCTTTATAGTGGTGGCGACAGGAAACAGGGGTTGTAATGTCAATAACACAAATAGAGTCATTATATCCGAAACCACAAGTGAACTTACACACGTCGTCTGAGATTTTATATGTAATGTTAATAATGTTAAAATAGCATAAAATCTTGGAAAAATTTGCTTCTTGATGCGCTGTTTGTATCTCTTCACCATAGTTTGTAAAACTCTGTCGCAGGTATCAGGCAGCGTATCTGTGACCATCTCTGTGAGGTAGCCTTTACAGGTATTAAATATTTTGGACCACCACTGCTATGAACAAATATGATTCAATAAATTTATCTAGACTCTTAGAAAGAAAACAGAAAACGGTACATAGAACCATGAACACTCAAAGAACCCTTTGCATGATTAAAGGGCTCTTTGCATCATGAAAGGTTCTTCAGACTGATGGAGAATGTGCTGTCAATGGTTCTATACATGAACCTTTTTGAAAATGATTCTATATACAATCAAAAAGGGTTCTTCTATTCTTATGGTGTAACAATAGAAGAACCCTTTTGAGTGCTCTATAGAACCCTTTTCTATAAGT